CCTCACCAGCTGCTGGCCCTGGGCTGCTGCCTCAACAGCTCCCTCCTCTGCACATTGGTCACTAGGGACCTTCCCCACAGCACTGTCCTTTACTCACAAGGCCAAGGTGCTGCACTTCCTGCTCAGAATTGCCATGTCCTAGTTTATTTCATTCACCCAAAGTGAGGGGTGAAGCTGTGTATCCGAGGGGTGGTCTTTCCGAGGTCACTCAACGCATTAGAGGGGCCTTGAAGGCTGGTGTGGTCGGCCCTCCTCAGCAGCTGGGTTCCCCACGACCCCTGATATGTAGATGGGAGTTCCACCCACCTCCCCAGGATAGTATGTCCTGGAATGCCTTTTGCATTATGGCCAGGTGGGTGGACAGAGGACAAGGCCACTGTCACATTTCAGCACATCCTGGTCTGAGAAGAGTGTGTGGCCACAGCAGGGACACTGAGGTCAGGAAGAGTAAACATGCACGTGGCTCCCCCAGTGTCCTGCCCCAGAGTGTCCCTACTTCCCTGCCCCCAGGGCCTGGACCCTTCCACGCAGTCAAACCCTCCTGCTCTAATTCTTCCTCATCCCTCAGTCCGTTTCCTGGGTCCCTCGGCCAATGTTCTCCTGGGTCTGCATCTGGAAGGGACGTTCACCTCTGGCCCAGGGCAGAAGGGGCTTCTTAAGGCTTTTCCTCTGCTCCCCTCTCCTGGGCCCCTGTGTATACAGACCTGATGGAGTAAGAAAGGTTTCACACCCTCCTTGGAGATGGGGTACCCTCCTCATCTCCTATCTGACCCCCGATCATGACCTCTCCCTGCACGCTCATGATTAAGCCTGACCTTTCCTGGGGTTGGTGTCCAGCATGGCCTCAGAGACCACCGCACCCCAGCATCAAGACCTGGTGAGTGCCCCTTCAGAATGCGGGTGGCTGGGAGCCCCTAGGCCTGCCCCTCAGTGTCCACTCTTGCAGTCACCCACCCCTTCAGAGTCATTTTCCTGGTGCTTCAAGAACCCTGTCATCAAACACTCAGGTCAGCAGACACAACTGGTCAAGCAGCCCACAACTGTGGCATCAGGTTCCCTGGATCCCTGGGCCACGGAAAGGGCTACAGGGTCTCCCCGAGGACATGCTGTCTGCCCAGATACTCTAAAGACCCCCAGCCCCTCCTGCAGCAGGGCCAGCCCTCCTCTCACCCTCCTGCTGACTCTTGTCTCTTCCCCAGGCCAAGGTCCTCCTACAGAGTCACCTCCCTGCTAAGTCCCCACCTCCCTACATACATGGGACCCAGCTGAGCAGGCTCAGGGCAGGGCCCTGTCAACCCCAGCACAGCACAGACACCCCCTCTCATGTTGGACCAGGACAAGCTTAGCCTGACCCTGGACAGAGGCTGGGCCATCTCAGGGATAGGGCCACCCTCACTCTGACCTCAGTCCACCCTGCTTTTCTCCATCTGTCTCAGGGGACCCCTGAGGCCAGAAGCTACAGAGGGGGTGCTCAAATCTTCTATCAGTCATCCTGAGTTAATGATGGGGGACAACCTGTGGACAGAAACTGGGCTGTCTGTCCAGAAGCGGAGGCTGGTGCTCAGGACTTGGAGCTGGTAACTTCTGAGAGTGAAGATCCAAAGCAGACACAGGGAGTAAGCTCTGGCCTGTCAGAGACCAGAACCTTCAAGCTCCACCATCTCCTGCTCCCTGGAGTCTCAGCCTTGATGACCCTCCCTTGGTGACACTGATGTCCACTCTCCTTCCCCTGCCCAGGCCCCTGTCCCTGGCCACATAGTTGCTGTTCCCATTTACCAGGTGAGTGTGGTGATGCATATTCCAGCCCACAGTTTAAGGGGGACCCAGGAGGTAGGCAGACCTTCCTGAGCTTTCCAGGAAACAGCAGCCAAAACAGGATCAGGGGGTGGAGAGTAGGAGGGGGAGGGGCCTGAGAACAGGATCCTCTGAGCCCAGCCAGGGGCAGAGGCAGAGCAGTCAGGTGGGCCAGGGCCTAGGACACCTGCTTCCTGTTCTCAGAAGGACACAGGGTCAGAGCCTCTTTGGTCTTTTTCAGGAATTACTAAACCCTGAGCTGGACATCTACTGCCGGGTCAACCACAAGGCTGATGTGGCTTCTTAGTTCCCACCAGACAAGGCTCCAGATGGATTGCAGAGGGTCCTGGTAGGACCACAGACTTTGGGTGATGGGGCAGAAGTGCAACCAGAGCCCTGGGAGACTCTGGCACCTTGAAGTGCTATAGGGTCCCTGGGTTCCTGGAGACCCAGACAGGCTGCCCTGGGCTCTGAATGGCCAGAACCAGGCTGCCTGTGCCCAGGAGGAGGGGCTCCAGGGAGAGGGAAGGGCCCTGTGGGTCACCTGGGAAGGCGCTGAATAAAGACCCCCTTCCCTCCTTCGCTCTTTTGGTTCTTGTGGGAACGTATCTTGGCAGACACTCCCCTCAAGTTCCAGGTCAGCTCTCTCCTGTGT